CATCACTTCATCTCCTTCTTCCATCCAAACTTCTTCAAGCAAACTCAGAAAATCACTTTTCGACTCATTTCAACCCAGATGTTTTCAATAATCTTAACCCAGAAAAACATCATACAGGCGCAACAACAAAGCTCGCAAACCCAGTAAAAACCTCCATTAACGACTTCCGTGAAACTCCACAAATACCACCTAAAACTCCAAACAACAACTCAACACTCATACAAAATAAACCCAGATCTATCAAACTTCCAAACCAACTCGCGATACACCTCCGCCCTTCGCCGAATCACCTTCCATTCACCATCAAAGCTCCCAGCTTCAAACCGAAACCCGCTGTTAATCTCTTGACAACCACCCCACAATCTCTCCGCAACCTCACTGCCGATGAAAGCAAACCCGTTTTTTTCGTTCACCACCCACAATCTGTTTCTAACTCAGGACTTCACCCGCAAATTGAATAAAACGGAGAGAGCTTATGTTGATTTTCTGAACAGAGAGAGAAGTTTTGAGCGGAAGCAATGAATTGGAAAAAAAGTGTTGAACGAAGAAGAGGACCCCTTCTCTTTTATTTATTTATTATTTTTCTTTTTTATCTGTTGGTTTGCTGTTGATGGGCCTAGGCCCAGCCGAGTTTCGTTTGGACCTCACCGTCTCTCTGCTTTTCATATTCCCACCCCTTGATTCATTTATTTCTTGATATTTTATGTTTTAGTAACATTTTCTCTTTCTTTTAATATATATATATATATATATATATATATATATATATATATATCATATTAATTTTAAAACATATATTAATTAATTGTTATATATTTTATGTGTGAATTTGTTTAGATTATGTATATATTATTATTTTTTGTAAGTATATTATTTAGTTAGTTAATATATTAATTTTTCTAAAATTTGGTTTATGTATATTTATACTATATTATTTCATTTCATATTTCTTTTAGAAATTTACACTTTTTATTTTTTAGAAGTTGAATTTTATTTCTCATTTGTTATTGGGCATTTTGTCCCATTTTCTGTTTTGGTCGATGACGACATTTCCGCAATTCATTACCAATCAAATTATTGATGAATAATGTTGGATCCGAGACCACCTTATTTCTCTCCTCATTTCCCTTCATCTTTTGACTTTATTTTGACTTTTGGTGATCGATGAAGTCTTGTAAGACGAGATCCCACTGTTTTTGGTCTGTGCGACACAATTCAATTGGAGAACGATCCTCAATATCGTTTCTCTATCTTGTCCATAGCACGAAAATCAATACGCGACCTTTTAAAGTTTGACTTCCCTTATAATTCGAGCTATGATGGTTTAGCGTCACATTGGTCCCGATTCGAAGCATCATCAAGGATCAAAAGAGGAGAAGATTGGAATGGAGCTTGCACACAATGTCAAGGGTCAACGGAACCACTCTGTTCGGTAACATCTATCTAATTCAAGTCTTTTAATCAACCGCCGAGCATTGTGAGTTCTAAGCAATAAATACGTGGGAAATGATGAGTGGAGGGCCTCCTCTCATTCGTCTAGAGTGTTTAGTGTATACCCTTTGGGCTATATGCGACGCATTCGCTCCTACGGCTTAGGTTCTAGCGTGTGTGTCCCGAGTTCCTTCCTGTTTAGGCGTGTCTTGGCCTAGTTCCTCTTTTCTCTTGCCCCCGTGCGATCGAAACTCTTTTCTCTCGCCCCCGTGCGATCAAGACTCCTTTCTCTCGCATCCTGGCGATTGAGATCCCCTCTCTTACTCCCGTGCAATCGAGACTCCCTTTTCTCTCGCCTCCGTGCGATCGAGACCGTTTTCCATAGTTAGGCCGAACTACAGATGCTCTGATCTCTCGTATCTGTTGAGAGTACGTAGGCATAGGATTGCAACAATCCTAGCGAGCACTTTCCCTCTTTCTGTAGTTGGCTGAACTACAACTGCTCTGATTTCTCATGCCAGATGAGAATATGTAGGCACAAGACGCGATGTCTTGGCGAGCACACTAACAACTAACTTTTCTCTTTTCTCTCGCTTCCGTGTGATCAAGGCCTTCCCGCTAACGACTAACGTGCCTTTCTCTTGCCCCGCGCAATTGAGACTAGCCTGTTGTTCTAAACCCTTTAGGTAACTCGTACCTTTAAACCAATGACATACTACGTCCGTTCTACCGCAAACAGGTAACGCCTAAGTCTCCAATGGTCGAGCAACAATACACCTAACTGCTAGAATGCGTGCGCTAGTATCGTCTACCTTTTCTCTTATCCCCATGCGGTCGAGAACACCCAGTTTACCCGTAGTTGGCCTGAACTACGTTTTGCTCTGATTTCTCATACCAGACGAGGATATGTAGGTACAAGACGCGATGTCTTGGCGAGCAATCCCCCCCGTAGTTTCCAAAACTACATTGACTCTGACTTTTCCATTGCACGAGGGAATATGTAGGCACAGGGCGACAATGTCGTATCGAGTCAGTTCTTTCCGTTTAGCATTAGCAGCCGTAGATAGTTTGTTTTTCACCCATAGACTAGACAACAAGCGTGGATCCCGTCGAGTACGACGGACGTGAGGGGTGCTCATACCTTCCCCTTGCGTAACCGGCTCCCGAACCCGAGATATGGTTGCGATGACCTGTCTTATTCCCTTTTTGTTAGGTTTTCTTCGATCATTTCCCTTCCCTCTCTTTGGGATAAATAACGAACGGTGGCGACTCTTCTATCTTCTATCGGCCCTTCTTCGCAGCGATGCGACAACTGGCGATTTCACTGGGGATTTTTCCCATCCCCTATGCGAGTCAATCCTAGTGTTTGCTTGCTTGTCTTTGGGTGTGTATTTGTGTGTTGTATTTTGTATATTGTTGTATTTACATTTTCCGCACTATATTATTATCTGTTGCTGTTGTGCTGTTGGGTGGTTGTTCCTTTGAGAGATAAGTCAAAACTCAGGCTTGAGGATACACATATCATTAGAAGTGGAAAGTAGTGATGGACCTGTATGGCAGCATGCACTAGTCCTCACGAAATCTGCGTTCATACGGGGTTTTCTTTAAAGACATCTCATCCTGCTAGTTGGGACGGGGGAGTTGGATCTGAAAGTTGTCGACTCTGAAGACTGATCACTTGGGAGTCAGTTAAGTGAGGCCGCTTCGTTAGACTATGATGCCAAACCAGAAATGGTGAATGTATCATCATTTCTCGAAAGTCTGTGACGCTGACGACCGCATAGGATGCCGAACCTTATCAGTTTAGGTCCATACATGTGATAGGGATTGGGTTATGTAGGAAACTTGACCTCCAACCTACCCGGTATCTTAGTTTCCTCATCAGAGCGAAATTTTGAACTTGTCCAGTCAGCAGCGCAACCGTTATTTCAGAGCTTTGTGGGATTTTTGATCCTTTGTTTCTTGCATTAGCATTTTGCATTGCATTTCATGTGCATCTCATGTTTGCATATCCATCCTCGGCCGGAACAGAGAGCTTACCCGTCTTTTGTCCAACCTACAGTTGATTTCCCAACATTCGTAGCCGATTTGAGTTAGCTTCTGGAAGAATCATGAACTCAAGAAAGCAGAATCAGGTTGTTACAAGGGCAGAGTTTGAATTGATGAAGAATCAGTTGGATCAGCTCATGGAAGCCATGACAGCTATGACTAGGGGAGAGACCAATATTCAGAGGACTCCAGTGAACAATGTTACTCAAGCTCAACCTGTGCAGATTCCTATTGGAGATCAAGAGCATACTATTGTCAGAGATAGAGGATCATCTTCTCTTCATGACTCAGATTATCAAAATTTTACTTTCTCTGTGCCAAATTCTCAAAGGGTTGTTCCAAAGATTAATCCTAAGGACCCACAGACTGTTGAGTTTATGAGAAGATATCATCTGTTGGATGAAAAGCTTGACGCCCTAATGGATCAGGGTACCCTTAATCTGAATGCTTCGAGCATGTGTTTGGTGCCAGGCCTTGTGATGCCTCCAAAGTTCAAGACGCCAAAATTTGAAAATTACAAAGGGGGATAGTTGTCCGAAGCAGCATTTGGTGATGTTCTGCAGAAGAATGACCTCGTATGTCCATAATGACAAGCTTATGATTCATTGTTTTTAAGACAGTCTGAGCGGAGCATCCTTGAGTTGGTATATGCAGTTGGAGAGTGGTTGCATCTGTTCGTGGTTAGATTTAGTCAATGCCTTTGTGAAGCAGCACAATTACAATCTCGACATGAATCCCAGCTGTATGCAGTTGCAAGAATTATCTCAGGCGGACAATGAATCTTTCAAAGGATATATGCAGAGATGGAGAAAGTTAGCTGCTCGTGTTCAACCACCACTTCTGGACAGAGAATTGGTTGACCTGTTTGTGGATACCTTGCAAGGTCCATACTTTGATAAGATGATTGGTGGTAAGGCAGTGAACTATTCTGACTTGGTGATAGTTGGAGAGCGTATTGAGAGCGAAATTAAAAGTGGAAAGATTCGAGACATCTCAGAGAGCTCAGATTATGAAAGCGAATCAGTTGCCAGTTCTCAAGAAGAATGGGAGAAGGAAAGTGATGTTATCCCAGAATCTCCAAGATCTCAAATTCAGTTTTCAGACACTTCAAGTGTTCAGAGTCAGCAACCTGTTGGGTCCGTATATCAGATATCTGTTCCTCTACAGAGTCAGCAATCATAGCGTCGTCAGCCGCGTCAGCACGCCTGGCGAAGACCAAGAAATCCAAAAAGGCATTTTACTCAGTTGCCAATGTTGTACAGTCAGCTGTTGCCGGACTTGATCAAAGGTGAATTGATAGTGCCAAAGAAGATTAATCTAGAGATTCCTCTGTATCCGCCAGGTTTCGATGTCAACGCCCGCTATGAGTAGCATGTAATTTGTTTTCACTCCCTGCTTCATCTCTCTTTTTGGACCTAATTTCTATATCCTGTGGAACAACCAACCCTCCATTTTCAACCTTCACATTGTTGCTCATCGTTTTCTCAATATCATTCTGTTGTTTTTGTTCCTCTGCATTCTCACCATCTAGATTCTTCTCCTCCTTCTTCTTCTTCTCCTTTATTTATCTTTCCCTCCTCTGTTCCTCCTTCACCACCCTTACTTAATTCAATTTCATTTTTCACCATAGCAGCTACTTCTCCATTGTTACTTATCTTTGTGTCTATCTCTTTTTGTTGCTCTCTTCCTTTCACACTCTCATGTTCTAAATTCTTGTCCTTCTTCTTCTTGTCCTTTTTCTGTTTCTTTCCGTCCTCCATTTCTTCATCGCCTTGACCTGATTCATTTTCATTTTGCCCCATTTTCGGTAGTTTTCCATCACCTTTCTTATTTCCAAATTCATTCTTCTTCTTTTTATCTTTCTTACTACGCTTCTCACTTCCATCTACAACAGAACCATTAGTTTCTAGACCCAATTTAACATCATCCTCAATCAACTTTTCATCAACATTCTCACCACAAACCTTTTCCCTTATAATCCCGATTTCAGATTTCACATCAGCACTTGTAACAGAACTTACACCTACTCTTCCACTATCATCTGTCACGTGGCTTCGGCTTTTCTTCCTATAAGACTGCGAGGGTTTAAGCTCCCTATGAAGCTGGTTGAGCTCATTGAAAGCATCTGAAGCTCGATGGAGATAGGCATTGATAACTTGCGAAGCACCATTGTCAGCAGAGACAAATTTTGAGAGAATTTTGGTAGCTTTGGAAAGTGATATCTCTTTAGATGATTCACATCGTCCAAAAAGAGTCTTCATATTCTTCTTCTTCTCTCACCTTCACATACATATGTATCTAGACTAAATCAATAAACAGTTAAAAACTAAACTATTTTGTCAATCAATGCAAAAATCGGAAAGTATAGCTTTTTTCTAAAATGTGATACTCAAGTTTGTTACGGTTTAATGTAGCAGCTACCGCGACCGCAAATCGATTAATTGCAGAAGCTAAAGGAATGGGGAAGGAAGATATGAAGAAGAAAAGGAATACCTAGAAGGATTTGTCACTGTTTCTAGAGGTGGAGTTGCTCCCTGCACAGACCAAGTCCGCCGGCGTTTTCCGGCCTGTTATGTTCAGTGCGCTGCCCATCAATGGCTCCTTCACTATCTGGAGCAATTGTTTGAGCAGTCCAAACCATCTCAAATATAGGCTTCTCAATTTGTGGTATCAGGTCAGAACCAACAATAAGTGCTGCTGCTCCATCTCCAAATAAACCCAATTATCTTATTTCCGTTATTTCTATATCATTTCTACCAAATAAAATAATCCAAATAAATTACGCACAACATCACACAATTAATTAATTAATATAATATATATAAATAATTACTAAAAATTGGGGTGTTACATATCCTGCCACATCAGACTGTAAATTTTAAGTTAATTGTATGATATGACAAACGGATGAATTCCTATTGAATGACAATGTAATATATTTTTTGGTTACAAAGAGGGCCTAAGCCCAAAGAAACGAAAAAACTAGCCTACAACTCTATGCAAACCAATTCCTTCCTTATCAACCGTAACAAAATATCTAATCCAAACCGGATAATCTTCACTAAACTCCATAACAGTGGAGCAATCAATACCCGCTTTGGCTAACTTGTTCACACACATGTTAGCCTCTCGAAATGTATGACTAATCTTCACATCCTCTAGCAATTTGGTATTTTCCATAATTTGATTTAGAATTGCGAATCCTTCAACCTCTTTTGACCTTGTATTCATAACTTTCACAACTGATGTAGAGTCCACACATATTTCAACGTTCTTCCAACCTAACCTCTTATTTAAATTGAGACCTTCTAACACTCCCCAAAATTCAGCATAAAAGACACTATATTTTCCACATTTTTGTAAAAACCTCCAAGACGATCTCCACTATTATTTTTATTTCTTATGATTCCCCTACATCTTGCTTCCCTCTTATGTGTCCTTGCACCATCCAAATTCAATTTCAATGTAATATTATTTTACATTGTCAGTACATATCTATTAAACTCATTAATATTTATATCAAACATGTGTGATAGCACAAATATTTATCCAAATAAAATTTGATTTAAACAACATTTACATGAAAACGCTATTGTAAATTATGGAGAAGAATCAACATTTTTAAACGTTGTTGATATTTAAATGAAAATATATATTTATAAAAATATATTTTAAGGAATTTATAATATAAAAAGTATTGAAAATCAATTAATTTTTTTACTATTTTAATAACAATTTTTTAAATATAAAAACTCTCTTAAAATTAACATTACTTTTATTAAAAAGTAAAAAACAATGTTATTTTTTAGACGTGATCTTATTTTAAAAGCATCTAAAATTCAACAAGTTTTTTTTAAAAAAAAAATGCACAGTCATATTTAGTTTAAAGGAGTTCTATCCACAACCAAACACAAACATAAGCATACCCAACGACACACAACAACGATAAAAAAAGGCAAATAGGGGTCTATGATCACCATCTTCCTTTCATTTGCCATATTCATTTCTCAATTTTTAATCACGAGTTTGTTTTTTAATTTTTAAATTTCTCCTCCTTATTTCTCATAATGGTTACTGTTAGTTATATATATTGTTTCACAAGGTTGCGATCCTTGGTGAAACAACTTCTTTTTATCAAAAGTTACATTTTTTTATACCAAAAGTTATGTATTTTTTGTCAAAAGTTACATACTTTTTTACCAAAAGTTATATTATTTCGCACACAACAATATTTTTCAAGAATTGCATACTTTCATTTTCTACAATACTTCACAAAGTGTTTCCTATTTCTGAATTTAAACTTATTGCAACACTTCACAAGTGTTGCTCATTTGTGAATTCAAACCTACCGCAACACTTCACAAGTGTTGTCTATTTTTGTTCAAAAATTAACATTCACTTACATATGTTTGAATTGTAATGACCTATCTAATTTGATTTTAGATATCCTATACAATAATGCACATCTAGACATAGACAACAAGATCCAATCTACACAAATACTAAATGTCCTAGTTTTGACATCATCCAAAACATATATAAGAAGATAATGCATTCACACTATATCCATATGTGCTTAGCCCATCCACAACTACAAAAAATACATACAACATCAGTTTAAAAAGATATATTATCATGCAGGACCGACCATTGTTATGTAGCGTGTGGTTGTATATGCGTTACTTATAATTGCGGTCATATGATCGTTGTAGAAAACTCAAAAGCGTGCTACCTATAATCACGATTCTTTTAAGTACTTGTTGTAAAAGATCTGCCAGCATTGTTTTTTAATTTTTGCCGCATGTTTTTCCTGACTACATTTATAACTTTTAACAAAATATACAATATTAAATATTTTAACACAACAACATCAAGAACAACAAGATTAACAAGAATAATAAGAACAATAACAAAAAGAACAACATCAACAACACTAAGAATAACAACAAGAACACCAGGAACAACAAAAGCAAACACAAGAATGACAAGAACAACGAGAATAATAACAAGAACAATAAGAATAATAACAACAACAGTAACAACAACATGAACAAAAATAATAATAACAACAAGAACAATAAGAACAATAACAACAACAGTAACGACAACATGAACAAAAATAATAATAACAACAAGAATAACAAGAGCAACAACAAGAACAAGAACTACAAGAACAACTACAAGGACAACAAGAACAATAACAACCACAATAACAATAACAAAAACAAAATAAGAATAACAAAAAGAATAACAACAAAAACAACAAGTATAATAACAATAACAATAACAATAACAACAAAAACAATAACAATAACGAGAACAAAAAATAAGAATAACAACAAGAGCAACAACAAGAGCAATAAGAACAACAACACGAAAACAATAAAAAAATAAAGAAATATAATCGCTAAACAATAACACTTTACCTGTAGAATCGTTAAACATGAACAAACTGTAACACGTTAACAAAAACAATGTTTATGAGTTTTATTTGTGGAAGAAATGATGTTTTCAAGTTTGGTTTACTGATGAATCATGTTTCGTAAATGGAAGAAGTTTGGTGGCAGAAGATGAAGTTTGTCTAAATACGTCTAGGGTAAAAGTGAATGAACTAAGAGCGTTATATATATCTTAAAAATGTTAAATATAATTTATTGTGTAAACAAATTTGATTTGATATGATTAGATATCATATGATTAGATTAGATTTGATATCATATGATTAGATTTGATATCATATGATTAGATTTGATTTAGAATATTTTGGGCCTTTTATGTTTTGGGCTAGTGTAAACCTAAAACTATAAATAGGGTGCCTTGCTTTGTATTCTACATCACAACAGAACAGATTTCACAGTTGCAGTTAGCAAGTGAAAGTTCAATAAGAAATTCCACAGTTGTGGGTAACACATTCTCTCCAAATACTTCTTCTCTCATTCTTCTCTTTCTTGTTTGTTATTCTTCTTCTCTTTTGTTGTTCTTAATAATTACTTGTTATTACCATCATTATCATATAGTGGGTTTGTTCATCAATCTTGAGATCAAGATTGAAGGGAATTCTTCATAGGGTGTGAGGTGAATTTCCAACATATGGTATCATGAGCCTTTGGTTCGAGTAAAGGGAACGACTTACTTGTATCGAAAGTATCCCCACGGATCGTGGGTTGAGTGTCTCATTGAAGAGTGTCAACGGCGGTACAAGGGTGCAGTTGTACAGTTAAAGTTTTCGCTTAAGGGAGAGCATTGTGGATAGACTCACACTTGAGGGAGAGTGTTAAATATTAACAAGTGTGAGTAGTATGGATAATAGTCCCACATTGGATAGAAATATGGTGACTTGAGCATTTATAAGTGAGAGAACCCATACACCTATCACCTTAAGGTTTTGGGTGAGTATGTGGTGTGTCTCTCACAAAGGTTGCTCTAGAAAAAAGTCCCACTATGTTCAATGCTCCCTAGTTGAAAGTCCAACAAGAATGTGTAATTACATCAGATGATGTAGTCGATGAAGAGGGTGAGCTGGTACATTATGCTTTCTACGCAGATGTCGAACCAGTCAATGCAGCCGAGGCATTGAAAGATTCGAAGTGGGTGAAAGCAATGATTGAAGAGTTAGAGTCCATCGAAGTCAATGATACCTGATCACTTGTCGAATTTCCGCAAGGCAAGAAGGCAATTGATGTTGCTAGAATCGAATCATTCATTTACAACCTTATTACTCCATGGATTAGTGACGAAGAAACATGAAATTTGGTGATGGAGTAGAAAAATATTGAATTTATTTACATCTAAATTACCATAATTCAATGTGAAAATGGTAATTATCAATAAATTCTAGCTTGACTATTTATTTTAATAATTACCTATTTTATATAAAAAATATGTCATGGATTATAGTCTTTTAACTTTGTTTTTTAGTGCGGAAAAACCTAAATTTTTTTGATAGAGTAGAAAAATAAAATATAATTAACATTTTACATCTACTATAGTCTATTATGTTTTTAGCTTAATGATAAAAGAATTTAAAACTTTGGGATGGTGAGGAAAAATATTGAATATTTTTAGATGTAACATATCATAAGTCAATGTGAATATGATGAATATAAATAATATTGAGCTTGATTATTTAATTTTAATTGTGATGCATATGTATGAATTATGGGACATTCATTTTTAGTCTGTTAACATAGTTTCTTAGAGGTGAAGAAACCAAAATTTTGGTGATGGAGAAGAAGAAAAGTATAGAAATTGTTTACATCTA